AAAGTATGTTCAACAATTTCTTTTTATGGAAAAAATGAGCAACACCTTTCACAAAAAAAATTTACAGAAAATCAACGGTACTTATGTTTCTAAGAAATTCTTACTTACATGGTATTTGTTAGATACTGAGCTACACTTTCATAAAAAATAATAAACTTTAAATACTCGAAAGGAGAATAGCCAAATAATGTAAACTGTATCTACAGCTTATAATTTTTATACAATGATTTTTTTGAGGGAATTATTATTTTTTTATTATTTCACTAATTTCAAGATAGAATCGTTACAGAACAAACAAGAATCATAGACTGCAATATAGCGGGGTACCAGTTTGACAGAATAAAATACTACCAAAGATCATGGAAAATAAGGATGCCGCCTATGTTTACGATTCCTTTATATTATATGTCCCTTGTGATCAGAGTGTCCAGATTTGGAAGGCAATTCAATAGTTCGAATAAAGTGTTATATGAAGGCTAATAGTTTCTGCTGCAAAACGTTTCCAATATCAAACAGTATGTTATCAAGGTTGAATAGCTCAATATATGACAACAACAGAAATGTAAATCATTCAGACACTATAGGTGACTTTGAAGAAATTGTTGAATACCTGATCTTTATTATAGGTTTTTATCTAATTTTTAGCGCCGAGCTCTTAAAGGCGGATTGTGCGCTTAATCAATTGATATGAGTTCTAATTTAATAATTGCGCAGTCCTATTGCAAAATATGTTGAAACCATTATTGTTTGTACATCACTATTATATAAGTGATTTATCTTATTTATTATTACCCTCTGAGGGTATTATATTCGTTTTTGGTTTTAAATACTATCTCGTTTTTAAAATAAAAGATTTGTTAAATCGATTTCATGAATTTTATTTTAAAAAAATTGCGATTTTTGGCGAATTTTTTCTCAGAAATTGCGCTCTTTTTTTAAACAAACTGGACACCCTGCTTGTGATAACGAAGTGCTTTTGGGCCAGAGTACAGGGAGACTTGTTAAATTAATAAGAAAAACACCGAAAATACGTCCCGACTTATAAACAAATATTCAGCGGGACAGTTGGTCACCGTAGATATGTACCATTCACATTAGACCGTATCACAAATAAAAGTTCAATTTGTTCCAAGCAATTCTGAACACTTATTATGAGGGTATTTCAGAAGTGTAAAAACTTTTTCGGCATCCTGATGTCCGATTTCTTTATCCTTTAATAACGATGTATCATTTATAGAAATCGGGCATCAAATAGAAAAACAAGTAAAGAAGTATAAGTTCGGGCGAAACTGAACTTTATATATCTGGGGTATGTATTAAATAACGTTTTTTCGCCATTCTGTAAACTACATGAAAAGTTGGGGTTTTCCGCCGATTTCAAATATTTTATCTTTTTTACGCTTACCGATATGAACTTAAGTATTCATAAGTGTGTACATTTTCCAAAAATCTATCTAATAAACTTATTTCTTTTTAAGATATTGTTGTAAGTATTAACTTGGAGTAAATTAGCGTCCCTATTTATTATTAATATATAGGAGTTTTCGTCGGGGGGTTTTCTGTGCCAATGGCAATAAATCCACCGAGCTTGGTAGATATGGCTAATTCGATTACCCAGATGCACATACATACATATGTAGTCAGAAGTGGGCGGTACCACGCCCATATTCCAAAACTTTGCCGTAATATCATTTGCTGCTAAAAGATTATTGCAAACATCGATTTCGAGTTACGAAGCTTTAATAGTTAGATACTGATTTATCGCAACTTTCGCATTTCTATAAATTATCGTTTTATGGGAGGTAGGCTTGGGGCTGGATTTTGTAACTGTGAGTTTTCAAGTGTACACTGAAAATTGTGTACACTCTTCATTTTGCGATTCAGCAAGTGTGAGAATGAGTTTTAACTGTCAAAATTGTGTATACTTCTCTTCCGAAAAACTCAATGAATTTTATTCGGTGAGCTTTTGGTTGTGAGGTTATTGTAAAACAGGTTTCGTAGATAGACTATAAGCAATGTTCGTACCAAGTCTGTTGTGGGTTGGTTAAGCGACTACTGAGAAACAGGATTTCTTTATAAGTGGGCGGTGTCACGCCCGTTTTCCAAAAAATTCATTATTACCTTAGTTTATCGTGTACAAGGATACGCCATGTCTGTCCATCCGAAGGCTAAATCGGCTTCTCTTTTCATTCTGAGTAATACATATGTCTATAAGGGTGGTCCTTAAAATTAAATGAACGATCTTATACAGTCTCACCCCTCAATCGGTAATACCACGTTCAAAGAAATCACATATATATTTTGGTCCCGATTGAAGTCGGTTAAGGCGCGTCGCACAGGGGGCAAAGGTCAGTGTGGTTTATGGAGACTGACCACTCTAATGTCTATATCTATCACGATTCCTTTAGGTTCGATCCTCGGTTGGAGCGATTGCGAAATTTTTTTTTGTTTTTATTTATTTTATATATTTTTTATTTTATTTGATCTATATATTTAATGTTACTTTATTTTGTTTTCATTTGCTTTATTTTATATCACATTTTTTATTTTACTATTAGTTAATTTAAATTTTTAGAGTTGAATTTTAATAAAAAGTCAACAACAACTAACTGAAAGCAACGTAAAAAAAATATAGAACTTATAAAAAAAAGAATGTAAACGAAATAAATGAAAATTCAATTGGCCGTGGAACTCGAACCCACGACCTTGCGGCTCGTTTATCCACATAACTGCCGTCTGTTATTACAAAATTATTATGTGCATATGTGTGCCAGATTATATGCATAAGCTTTGCCGTCTGTCACAGCTTTTAATTTGCTTTAACTCATGCATTTTCCTCTTTAAAATGAGCATAAGCAGCCGAACAAATGCACGAAACTTTTGGGAATTAACTCGGATCCGGGGAATTTTCGATGACAGCACTGGTAAAAACGGTCAGTTGTTGTCTTTTGTACAAGTAAGCAAACGAAGCAGTCCAGTTTCGCGTACGCGGTAGCCGAGTGGTGAGAGTTGCGAGCTACAAGCCTGTAGCTGCCAGGTTCGATACTCGGTTGTAGCGATTGTGAAACATTTTTTATTTTTATTATTTATTATTTATTTTATATTTTTTTATTTTATTTTATTTATATATTTAATTTTACTTTATTTTATTTTCATTTGCTTTATTTTATATCACATTTCTTATTTTACTATTAGTTAATTTTAATTTTTAGAGATGAATTTTGTTAAAAATTTAACAACAACTAACTGAAAGTAACGTAAAAAAAATATAGAACTTATAAAAAAAGAATGAACAAGAAATAAAAAAGTATACTGGCCGTGGGACTCGAACCCACGACCTTGCGGCTGGTTTATTCGCATTACTGCCGTCTGTAAGGGTAAAATTTTAATTTGCATTTATGCTTATTAATTCAAATTAATTTTCTCCGTCTGTCTACCATATGAGGCAGGCAATTTTTGGGAATTAACTCGGAACAGGGGAACTTTCGCTGACAACACTGGTAAAAACGGCCAGCTATTGCCTTTTGTTGAAGTAGACAAACAAAGCAAGCGAGTTTGGCCTCATCGCTAGCTACAAATCTTAGGTGCCAGTTCGATCCTCGGTTGGAGCGGCTGCCAAAATGTTTTTTGTTTTTATTATTTTTATATTTTATTTGAGGTATATATATAATTTTACTTTATTTTATTTTCATTTGCTTTAATTTATGTCACACTTTTTATTTTATTATTAGTTAATTAAATTTTTAGATTAAATTTTTATTGAAAAGTCAACAACAAACTAACTGAAAGCAACGTTAGCACTTGCGGCCAGTTAATGGGCATTACTGCCGTCTGTCAGGGCAAAATTATTATGCGCATTTGTGTGCTCGTTAATCGGCATAAGCATGCCCGTCTGTCTTCCCTATTAAATATAGGGATAAACATTGTTGGTGAAATATATTTGTGATTATACTTCGCGCAGCGCATATATATATGGTATCTTCCCAACAACAACTACACTAATTTTTGCCGCTTTAATTTCGCCATCACCTGCTCTCACTGCTCAATCGTATGTCACTTTTACCTAGAAATCAAAAATCAACAGACTTCAATGTCGTGCTGAGTGTTGGGTAAACGCATTTAACAGATTTCTTATGTGACCACTCTCACGTGTTACCATGCAATGCTAAGTATGTGCAACATAAAAGAATGTTTGGTTTCTTTAAGTCCCATATGAAAAATTAAGATGGCAAGCTCAAATTTTGTCACAACTATTTTTTTGTGAACGACAACGAATTTTTCATATCGACCGAGAGAAAAAGTCATTTTATTATAATAAAATTAAATAACCTTTAATTTCTTTAGTTTCATCTAAATTTGTTTTGATCGCTTAACGTGTTCCCTAGATAAGAGTAAACAAAATTGATTTTTCCAAAACTTCCGACTCTTTGAAGATTTTACTTAATTAAATCTTTATTATGCAATACTTATATTTTTAGAGCAAGAAAAATATAATCTCCCTATTACTGTATAAAACCGACCCAGCCTAATACATATATTAGAGTGGTACAAAAAATCCTTTTTTTTAATGTTATTCAATGTTCACGCAAATTTGTGTTCCTTTTGCTAAAAAATGAAAGTACATAACTTGATTTAAAAAAATAACAGGATTTAGAGATCGCTAAGTCCATTTTTATTTTACTTAAAATTTCTCGCCCTTCAATCCGTGTGCACGCGAAACACCTAAGGAAATTTAAGTTTTGTGAGATCTTATATGCTTTCGAGGTCGCTGAATATACTAGGAAAGTTATTTTTTCGATCCGGCCCTTGCTTTTTAGATATTACGAAAAAATATTTAAAAAACAAGAAAAAATCCCGAAATCGCACTTTTTTAAACTTTATACGAAGTTTTAAATGTGGATTTATGTGGTGCTGGTTATGTAATATGCTAGACTTCTTTAAAAAAATTATAAATATTAAATAAACAAAAGTAAAATGGCCATACAAGTGTATGTCTACAGCTTATATTTTTTTTCATATCCATGCGTTTTCTGAGGGAATTAGTATAATTTTTTATAATTCCACTAAATTTCAGTTAGAATCGTTTCATTAAAAAAGCAAAACTTAACAAATAATTATAAAAACCTTACAAAAATTTGAGACACGTTCGTCCGAAAAATGGTTTTTTGGGCCAGAGTACAGGAAGACTCTTGTTAAGTTGATAAAAAAAACACTGAAAATCGGGATTTAATCGGTACAAATATGAAAAATCGGCACACTTACACGTCCCGACCTTTTAATTAATTAAGCGAGACAATTTGCTCAAAATCCGTACTGTCCCCACAAAATCGTTACGGATGGTCACCGTAATATATAATAATTATATTTTGGCGCATACATTTATGCTATATGCGTATGTAAGTATTATATTAAAATCTAATAATTGGAAAAGGTTGAGTTGTCACTTAAACCATAAATAAAGCTGTTGATTTCAAGTTAATTAATCTGTAGTTTAACTAATCTTTTTGTACACATTTTTAGGATATTCCGGCATTCTTTGAATTATGCGTTAAATAGCTTAACGCAGAAGGTATTAACTTGTTAACTTTGTTCGTCGATGCATTCACAAGCTCGAGCGAGAATGGCCTCAGAAAATATTTATGAAGCAAACAGAGGTACTGATGAAGAAAGCAAGTACGCTTCGAGTACCGATAGCAAATGCATGAATTATGGTTTGAAATCGAAACTAATTGCACCATATTCACCTATATACGAAAATGTAAGACCCGATTTGATTTCCGGACAAAAGATATTATTAAGAAAACTATTTCAAACTATCGAGAAACCGGATACCATATACGAAAATCTGTGTCGAGGCTGCGGATATGGAGTTTTTGAAGCGAGTAGTTATTTGTGTAACTTTTGTTCATGCATTGTTGGAGGGCTCAAAAATAATCAGTTACATCATTTGACAGAAGTCAACCAAGTCTATGTTAATACCGGTGAGAATATTTATGAAAATGTTTGCTCTAAATGCTCTGCTTTATATAATACTGATGAATGTGAGACTTGTTCCGCCGGAGAGAGCATAATAACACCAAATGTTTACGAACAAAAAAAATTGGCAAATGAAAATTTAAAAGATACCAATATTGCCTTAAAAATATCAAAATCGAAATCTTTTCATAAGTTTGATAAGCAAAAACTTTTTAATGGTCTTTTCGGATCGCTTAAGAGAGGTGTAAAAACCAAACAAAGTTTTCCAGACGGTCAAAGGCAGGGGAGTAAGAAGCCAAGGCAACTTGATATAGTCCATCACGTTGAAGGATACGATAACATTTTTCGTACGAAGGAAAGTTTCGATTTACAAAAGATATGCCAACTGAAACAAGCTCATAAACTTTGCGCAGATATTTCGTATAGTGACGAACATATTTATGGTCGGCTTAAGTATAGCAAAAACAAAGCCAACGACATCACTAACGTAGCTAAATTGCATATGCCGTTGTCAAAATCCCAAGAACTATTACCGGTATCTGACAATGATTCCATGTACTTGATAAACAACACCGGCAACCAATCAACGTCGTCAATTCCAAAAGCATTCAGCTCTTCCTGGATGAAATTACAGATTTCTAAACCACTGCGCATTCCAGATAACCTCCCTATTACCCCGAGCAATATAAAGCTGACGTTGCCATTGTCGAACAGTGTTTGCTACTGGATGAAATTATTACGTAAGCAAATCCATAGTTATGACAGTCATACTAGTGCGGACTATGCTTCGTGCATTCCGAAAAGTATTCCTCCAAAAAGCGCTATAATGTATAATTATTACGCCGCTAGTTCAAGCATCAACGATTGCTATGTGAAGGTGTTTCCCCCTTGTTTAGCACAAACGATGACTAATTTTCCAGTCACTGATAAAAAAGGCGAACTCAAATATGGAACGTTTACGAATAAAGTAAAACCACAAACTGATTCCAGTAGCTATATTGCTGGCGAGCAAATGGAAAGCTGTTTTGATGTAATGGTGGACGTATTTAAGCAAAATGTTATGACAAAACAAATGCTCTATCAACAGAGAGAGTCTCAACCATCTGTTGATCATTCCAATATGCTCAGCGCAATCGCCACACCAAATCATCTAATACGATCAGTACGACAACGAGCAAAAAAACAAAAAATGTGTATTCACAACGAAAACAATGCTGCTTTTGATCGCCCTGCTGAGCGCAGTCCGATTTCAGTAATGAATTCTCCTCAAGTACTCTCAACAGTTGCCGCTGAAATATACTTAGCTAGTTGTTGCTCAACCTGCAATGCGAGCGAAGTGAAGAATAATTGTTGCGGCTGTTTGAATGTGGTCGATGACGTTCCTCGATTATACGACTCTGAATTCCAGTCCCAAACGGTGGCTTCGATTGGAAAATATGAAAATAAAACAACCAAAACGCTACTAAAAACAGAAACGATTGACGCGTATAACAGTGCTGTGGGATGTGAGACTCACGAAGAGCATGAGCAAATTTATACTTCGAGTAATACCAATGTGGACGACATTTTAGAAAAAATATTGTACATGCAAAATAAAGCTTGCTTAAAGCTTAATTTACTGCATTTATTAAACAGTGTGTTGATATCTTATAGCCTTAACACCAAAGTGTTACATGCGTGCTCCAATCGATGTCAGTACTTTAGTTGGTTACAAGATTGGTTACTTTATTATTATAACCCATGGAGCTTGAACGCCAATCGTGCTTTGAAAGTGCTTGCTAATTATAACAGCCTTAATATAGCGTTTAAATTATGGTATACACTGTATGAGTCAGTAGCGCGACAAAAAAAAATGTTGAAAGATGATAAACAAGAGACGAGTGATTGTATTGGTGAAGCTCCGACTAGCACACCAAATGCACAAGTTATGAAATATAGTCGTATGACATTGCAGTGCGAATCAGAAAACGTCGATGTTTTTGATGTGAAAGAGAGTGAAAAATTTATTGTGAGAAAAAGTGAGGGTATAAAAAGCTCAATGAAAACCAACGAAGAAGTAGTGTTGCGTGCAAAGAGCAAAGAATCTTTGGAAAGAAATAAAAAAGCTCAAGGGAAGTTTTTAGATCTCGACACTCACGTAGTTGGGTTAATTGACAACGAATCAAAGCCAAATTATGATAAGAATTTAGAAGGTGATTTGGAAACATTAGACGGGGAACTTAGTCACACGAATGCTCCGCATGGGGCTCTTGTATCCAAAGGGAATCAACCCATAAATACCAGAAACGAGTATTGCCATCAACGAAGTGAGGAAGATATTTATCAACCCATTTGGAAGTTCCAAACTGTTGGAGAACCTCATGAGCCCTATGACAGCGATTCTGAATATTACGATGCGAACAGCGGGCATACAAGCTTGTTAAAAAACGAGCAATTTCAATTAAATGACTCGTCAACATCACACATACTTATTGCTGACAGTGTGGAAGATCAAGGCGAGTGGGAGACAGATGACGAATTCAAGTTCTCAAAAATTAACGACGGATTTTACCTGGCCGAAGACACAATATCGTCACAAACGTCATGCAGTGCTGCCTCCCTGTGTAGCAGCACAAATACAAATTTTGATAGCAATGTTGCAAATCTCTCTGCCTCAGCGACCGTTAATTTGGAGCATCCTCATCTGCGTACAGTGTGCATTTTTTTCAGCCCAAGTGAGCCCAAACTTCGTGCTATCGTTTATGACTATAAACGTACTCAAGCATCACAATACTTTTCAAAACGCTCACAAAAACATTCATTCATTGAGAAAACGAGCAATTTTTCATCAATAAATCATGCAGTGGACATTCCGTCAACACAATCAAAAGGTTCAACTAGCCCATCAGCAACCACGGCAAAACCTGCGTGTGATAGAGCACTATCAACATTTAACATGACATCGGTGAAGGCGTGGAAACTCAGCCTTTTAAATACTGCCAACGCAGACGATGAAGAAGATTTGGTAAGTAAGGGTATTTTTAGGGCGTTTCTTAACTCAACTAAATACATACGTATATGAAGCTAAGCAACGCTAGTTGAGTTTTTATTTTTAAAATAACTTACACAATTTCTTGTTACATAAGCTTACGGACACGAATTTCGATACGACACGATGCCTAATCGCTGCTTATCCCATTCGGTACCGATATTTTTTACTCGGTTAGTTTTAAAACGATATGTTTTGGAATCGAATACAAGACGAATACCAGAAACCTTGTGTTGAAGCGAATGTAAATTCACCTTACAAATTTAATGTGCTTAATTATATTTTTTTATTTTCACTTTTATTTCAACGTAGTTTGATTAAAAGGAAAATACTTATAAAAAAATAAAATATTTCACACAGACAACAAAAAATATAATCGATAATCGCAGAGGCTATTGTCAGAAAATTTTAAAATGTACTTAGTGGCATTCCGCTACTATGATAGACGGCCGAGTAATCATAGTCAACTTATGTAAAGTAGTGGTACAGTGGTACTGTTTTTCCGCTGGATTTCTAAAATCTATTATATTTTAAAACTTGCACCAAAATATCGCGCAAAAATATTAAGATTTACGATTTGAAAATACCTCGAAAAATTGATTTTTTATTAATAAGAACAGTTTTTTTTTTAAATTTTTTGAAAAAATTACCTCAGAAGACTGAACAGTTTAAGCTTAAAAATTTAAAAAACATTTCTGCGGAATCATAATAATGAGATTTTTGATGCTGTTGTTGTACTTTTTTCAAAGAGTGGTTTAAGAAAAACTTGAATAACTTAGCCAAAACCTTACCAATTTAGACTTATGAGGTATCATTGGTAAGGTATCTTCTCACCCTTTTAATTTCTTTGCGAATAAGCTCATTCAAAATATGAAAAAGGAAGGTGAGATAAACGAGTGCCATTCCATGTTGAAGTTTTTTTTGCAAAGAAATAAGAAGGGTGAGAAAATACCTTTCACCTGATACCTCATAAGTCTATATCGGTACAGTTTTGGAGCAGTTATAGAAGTTTTTCTTACACAAATCTTTGAAAAAAGTTAAAAAACAGCATCAAAAATCTCATTATTATGATTCCGTTGATTCAATTTTTTATTTATTTTTATGTAAATTTTTTAAGCTTAAACTGTTTTGTCATCTGAGGGGATTTTTCCAAGAAATCCTTTAAACACCAATTGTATTAATAAAAAAAAATCAATTTTTAGAGGTATTTTCAAACCGGTCCAGCTTACGTAAATCTTAATATTTTTCCGAAATATTTTGGTAGAAGTCTTGAAATAGGCTAGGTTCAGTAATCCCACCGGAAAAACTGCAACTTTTTTTGGTGATGTAGTCTAATGTACAGTAGTCGAAAAAATTATAGGCGCACAAAATTTTCACAAGTTTTAAAATATTATTTTGGTTGTTATTTAATTTTGGTTAATTTTTTATAGTTCATTCTTTAACAACATCTGTATAAATACAAGTTTAAAGGCAGTGTCGCACGATTGGGTATTTGCCAAAATTTGGTGCAAATCGTATCCCAAATATTTTTCTTTATCCCAATCACGAAAATTAATTTGTTGAAATTGTTCAATAGAACATCGCTGCATTGTACCAATCTTTTGACTACAAAAACAAAAAATTTCCCATTTTTTTATTTTGTACCAATAGCCCAATATAAAAATGTACCAATCTGTACAAATGTACCAATCGAGTGCCAATGCCTTAAAAATGTACGTAATTAAAAAAAAAAAAAAATCCACAAATTTTCGTTAAAATTTCGAGTTTTTTAATTAAATTGTGAGTATACAGTTTTGTAGGGTCAGAACACCTACATAACTGGGAACTATTTTTGAACCCGTTGTGGCTATGCCTCGACTACTTTACGTTAAGTTTAACTTACTACTTTTACATGGTGATGTCGCGAAATTGAGTTTGTTTTCAGTTAACTAAAAACTGGTATTTATAAGTTGACTTGTAGTGTGTTAATTAACAGATTTTTTTTTGTTCAGTTAGTTTTTATACCCATATGATTACTATTTAGTTCGGATAAATGAGCTTTTTAATCGTTTTCCAAACGATGCTGTTTGAATATCCCTTTCTTCCTATATTAAAGTATGAGTGTTCATAAAAAGTGGACTTTTCACTCTAAGCAACATACATATCTTTCAACAAATTTCACACATAACTACAGGCTTCTTCGGTTGGCTACTGAAAACAATTAGAAGTTAGCCGTAATAATAATAATAGATTGGCGCTTATATATATGTTAGTGTTTGGCCGAGCTTTTCCTCCAATTTGTGGCGTGCGCCTTGATGAAAGGGAGGGAGCCACATTTTTACGCTGACTCCGAACAGCGATAAGCTGTTTTTCGTGGCAGAAATAACCTCGGAGGTTTGTCATTGCGACCACTTGCTAAGAAAAAACCTTTTTTTCTATGTATATATATTTTTTGCTATTGCTATTTTAGTAGTCGACTACAGAATTCCCGACAGGTGTCTGGTTCAAATGTGGGATGTGGTGCATATGATAAAACCGATGATATGTTTGATGACTTCGATGCAGATCCACACTATATAACACCACATCTTGATTTAGTTTTTGCACTTAGTGGAGAAGAATTGAACGATATTTCAACAAAAGAAGAACAAGAGATATAAATTCGTGTCACAGCTTCAAAAACCAATTGCATATTATTATTGTTAAAGAAGCCGGACTTAGTTAGAGTAACACCTTTGGAGAAGACCCGATTGCACAACCAACATATGATATTCATAAGGCATTACCAGAACCGTCAATATCTCGGTCTATTTAACCTTTTGAACCAACCCTCAACATTTCATTTAAATTTCTACCATCGACATCTTATTTAAATCAACCATCGGAAAAAAGGTATAAGGTAAATACACAGCTCCAGAAAAACGAGGTGTAAAACGACTGTTTCTGTTACCGCAAAACGTAAGCCACTTAAATCCCATATATCCCCAAATAAAGCCCCAAGTTTGTTTACAGGGAATCTTAAAAAAATGCAAATGACCATCATGCAAGTCTAAAACTTTATTTGTTTGCTCAAAATGGCAATTCTTGTTTTAATAATAATAGCAATTGTTTTTATGTGTTCCATAATAATTAAAATATTTAAAATAATACATTCTTCTGAATAAAAAGTATAAGAAAATTTTTTGTTTACCCCGAATTCTATAACCTTTTATTAATTTTTCACTTTTTCATACTGGTAATTGTATTTTTTGGTACTGGTTAAGGCAAATAATTATTTTGTCATTATCAGGCAGGACCGTCTGGAGACGGAATACATTTTTTGGTATATCGACGAGCCCCTCTCCAGACGGTCTTAGATTTTCTCCCTCGTAGGAAAAAGTTACTGTCACAGATGGAAATAGACATCATTTTTGGAATTCTCGTGCTAAAATCTCTCATTCCTGAATTTTTCAACTCATAAAAAAATTGGCCTACTAGAGGCTAGCGATAAATCGGTAAAAACTGCATTCGATTTCATGCATTAGTTTTCGAGTGATACGCGTACAAACACACACACACACACACAGACAGACAGACAGCAAAAAATCTAAAAATCGTTGATTTGGCTTCTGTTGCTCTAACAAAGACCCCCCATATTAATTTTTCTTTAATATCTATAACTAGATCGCATTCACCCGCTTCGCTGAGTATATGAAATATCTGCTTGCTATACTTGCTTAGATGTAATTTATTTCAATTAGTAGATTTAGAAATGAAGCCATTTAAAAACCGTTTCGATTGATACCCATATTGTAATAATGCATTGAAATTTTTCAATTTAACTTTTTAAACAGTTGGCAACCCCTTTTAAACCTCTTTAATCTGATACTCATATTGTGATACGTACAAATGTATGTACTCAAATTACCTAATTCCTACAATTCAAGTTGAATTTGAATTTTCAAACATATCGAAACTCTGCTATACATATGTAGCTTAGGAATTAAGCCTTTTTAAGACTCTTTAAATTTAAACCAATATTTTAATAACACATTTAATTTTGTATTTGAGTTTAGCTTTAAAAGAGGTGGCAACCCTCTTTAAATACCTCAGAAATTTATATTTTAATTTAAGCTGAACATTTCTAAACACTCCTGCGTTTGACACTTTAACTTGAGTATATTCGAAATATTTTCAACTAAAATCTTATTAAACTCGTTTCGCCTGACACCCATATTGTGATACATATTCCAATTACCTAATTCACTTAAATAAAGTAGCATTTGATTTTACAAACAGGTGGCAAGCCGCCTACATATAGTTTAGAACTAAAACCCTTATCAAAAACCTTTCGATTGATACCCATACTGTAGTAATTCACTGAAAATAATTGAACCTAATTTTTAAAATGGTGGCCCCCTCTGCAAAACTCCTCAGTAACATTCTAAGGGCCGTTTTCTGAAGTAACCTTTAATTTTAAAGCTCACTTTATATTTAAAGGTTGAATTAATCATAAAGCTATGTCTAAAGTTAAGCATTTCTAGTATCGGGTTTTTGACGTAAGTATGTTTGTTGGTCGTAAACCAACTTAAAATGCTTTACTTTAGACACAATCATAAATTTTAATGCAACCTTTAAATATAAAGTGAGTTCTAAAGTTACAGGTTGATTGAGAAAACGGGCCTAAATGTTTAATCTGAAGGTTTCTTAACAATCTTTCGTTTGATACCCATATTTTAGTTTTAAGGGTAGCTTGCGAATAATTAATTTAAATTTGACTTTTCAAACAAGTGGCAACCCTTTCTAAAATATTTTCAAACATCAATTTTTTAATATTATTTTCAAATAAATAATTCCCTTAATTCAAGTTGAATTTGATTTTTTAAATAGATTGCGGGCGTCCTCCGCAACGACCATTAAATTTATTTTCATATATCAAACGCGCCCTTTTAAGTTTTTAAATCGTTTTGTCGAATGTTTTTTGGTACAAAATTGACGTAGTTCTTTAATGCCTTTATAGATCGTTTCGGAATTTGAGATTTTGAAAGCGCAAATCTTTAAGGAGGAACCCGAAAATCAGACTTCACCTCCAAAAACAGCTACTCTACAACGTTTCAAAAGCGCATCATTTGGTAATCTTTTGGATATACCCACTGAAGATGACAAGAAATCTATTACTGAACGTATGCGTAACAAGTGTAAGTATCCAGCATGACTCCCATATAAACGTATGTATGATTTTACATTAGGGTGGTCCAAAAATGTAACGTAAAGTCGGAATTTTTATGCTTCCACCCCCTAGGCTTGTTCTATACTAAAAAAATATGCCCTAATTTTTTTATTTTGAAATCCAAAAAATATTTCGAGGTCGCTCAAAGCGTTCAAAGTTTTCCATGTATTTTATATGGGGAAAACACAACTTTTCGTAGAAATGGTATAGAATTCTTGAAAATCAATATTTTCAAAATTTATTCGATTTGTTTTTCTTCTGGAGATTCCCAATAATAATAACCAATTATTTATTTAATAATTTTTTCAAAGTAACGATACCTCATAGGCCGAAACCCCCAGAAAATGTCAGAAAATCCACTGGGGGATAAATAAAAAATCTTTAGTTTTAAAAAATTATTAAATATTTAATTAGGTATTGTTATTGGAGTCTTCTGAAGAGATAATTTCTACGAAAAGTTGTTTTTCCCGAAAAGTTGGTTTTCCGCATGGAAAACTTTGAACGCTTTGAGCGACTTGTAAATATTTTTAAATTTCCAAATAAAGAAATATTAGTCTAATTTTCTTTTAATATAGAACAATCCTAGAGGGTGAGAGCATTAAAGTTCCGACTTTACTTATTTTGGACCACCCTATTGTGCATACCCTTGTGGTCAGCTGATTAAGTTAAGTGACATTTTGACCAGTTTTGGCAATTTTTCTTTTGTCTATTTAATGTTCATGATTTGTTTATTAAAGGTTAGCCATTTGCATAATCAGCACCACAAAAATCCACATTCCAAACTTCGTACGAAATTCATAAAAGTGAAACAAACTTTAACAATTACATCCACGAATTTTAAACTTCTTATTAAAAATTTTAGGTATGCAGTTTTATGGCCCACTAATTTTTAGTAGGGGAAAGACCAAATTTTTTGCTCAAACCACCACTTAGCAACATAATCAGCTGACCACGAGTGTATGTATGTATGTATATTTGTATGCATTCCTTTTAATGTTTCACGAAGCTACATGTACATATCTACATATCGCACCCTAAATCAAAAGCAGTCATAACTCGATGTTTTCAAAATTGTTTTTTCTCTCCCAAAACAGTTCACAGACCATATTTCTAATTTCTGCAAAAATTCCTTCTTCACCACTATCTTCTCTAACTGGAAGTATACTATTAAGATTGTTTGGTATTTTTTGAGTTATGACTGTTTTTGATTTAGGAAGCGATATGTACATAAATATCTCGATTGTTAGAAGAACATTATAACTTAAAAAATTTGAACTGCGGGAAAAATTATTTTGATATTTTTAGTAGGGCTTTTCCTTTTGCCCTCTGGTTGCTAATCGAAGTGGAAAGAGCCAAATTACACCAAAAAATTTACCTGTTAAAATCGAAAAGTTTTTAATCTGAGTTTTTATAAAATTTTTGGATACGTAGTTTTATAGCCCATGCAATTTTATTGTAAATATTTTAAAGACAAATCACCTTGTGAGTTGTTGTTTGAGTCACTGTACATAAAGACATATGTAACTAATCGGGTTGTAAAAAAATCGTCCACATTAGGACGGTTCATTTATATAAGCTATCTTGTTTTTTAATTATCATCTTGCATAGTTCAGTTTTTCGTTTGGAGCTAATGGCAGTTTCTTAAGTGAGTGTACACTGTACATACATATGTACATATGTATGTATGTTTGTATATGTATGACAGAAGAATTTGGCATTTTCAAACCTTTGGCTTCTGCTAATCTAACAGAGCCTTTATTAAATTGATGACATTTATTTGTGTAGAAATTTTACCCATCTACAGTATCTAATCATACCTTTTAATAACTATTTAATTTTTTATGTTTCTCTTATAGTGCAACGAGGCGTCTTCAAGCTGTAAGTATGCATCAACAAGTTTTACAAAATCATTTGAATTAGGTTCGAGAAATTATTAAACTATCATTTATACTTATCATGGTTTTTATTTGCTCCCACAACTTTTTCATTTTGAAAAATAACTTTTTTTTCCATCTCAACTTAATTGTATTTTTTTATGTAAACCCGGTGCGCGTAATTAAAATTAGTTCACGTTCTATCCTTTTTCAATGCTAGCGACTGGTATTTTTAACATGGCGGTGTCCTACGAGATTTCAATTGTCCGCTACTGCGTCAGCAGCTACCAGTAGCATCATACCATGGCCGACATCTGTGAGGAAAGCAATTAACTGCGTTTTGGTTTTGCATTTGGCAGTTCAAAGTAGAGTTGGGCACTTTAGTTCTTTTGAGTGAACCGTCCAGTTGTAGTTCGTTCACCTTAGAGAACTAGTTCTTTAGTTCATATAGTTCACTTAGTTCAGTTGACAAATACATTTATGTTATTTTTAACAAGGACTGTAATCATTATGAGTAAAATAATTTAAGTCAACATTTAATCATTACTTTAAAATTTTTAAATTTTTTAAATGGAAAAAATTATTTTTTGATTTTAATTTTTTCGATCGCAAATAATCATACTTTTATGATTTTTACTTTTTTGCTCAGATATAATCATTATTTTTGAGTTTCATTGTTCCACTTAATAATAATGATTATCTATAAATTTGAAAAAGTCATACAGACGCAATCTACTGAAATTTTTACCTGAAAATTTTGGGACTTAAAGGCTCCTATTGCGAATGTCGACTGGCAGTAGAATAGAAATTTGTCGATCGAGTCGACCATCTTTTATTTTGCTATTGTGTAAATTGATCGATAAAAATTTGTACTATTGTGAATGGTTGACTGAGTTGTAAACAGCTGTTTGCTTGTTTACATTTGTTTCTTTAATGTTTCATTTATATCATTTTTAAAATAATTGCTTTTATTATAAAATTTAAAAAATTGATACAGTTGAAATATGGTTCAGTGATGAGGAAGATGATGTGGAAGCTAATAGATTAGTAGAGTTGGCTAAAGCAAGGAGGGAATTGCGAGATTCGTCGGATCACTTGGAGTTGGAAGATGAAGTGTGTAAACATATGTGAATTTTTTAGGTTTTACAGGATCTGCAAGAAAAGCTGTTTTCCTCATTAATAAACTTTATGGAAGTTTAAGAAATAAGGTACGGTTTAGTTATTTGTACAATGATGTTGGGTATTCGTGTTCAAACGCGTGACCCGAGCTTAAAAACTTTAACATAAAAGTGTAGTGAAAGAATTCAACTTTACTTTAAAATAAAGATTTCAAATTTCCGAGCACTAGTTAATTAATAAATTTTGCATTTTTTTGTAAACTTTGATGTTGGTTCTGCGCAAAAACACTATGGCGTAGCCAGAGTTATATGCACAAGAAATATTGTATATCTTTCACAATAGAAGCGGAGCTTCCGCCCCTATTCTTTCCGAAATACCTTTGCATATGTCCTCATTCTCCTGCATCAGATCGACGCGCGGTTGGCGCAAGTTGGCTTTTGTTGCTTGCAATTTTTGATCTGTAATTCAGACACATACATACATATGTACATATATCTCACAATTTCTAACAACTTCCAGTTCAATTGACTTACTTTTTATTCATTATAGTACCACTTTCTTATGTAAATTTTATAAACGCAAACTCCAACGAAAAAAAAAAACAGCAATAGAAGGATGAGCGATTAAAAAGGATTCACAGTCGCTAATTGAGCGACTAAGCGACACTCACAATAGCATCGATAATCGATAATCGCTTAATAGTCGTTTATCTACTGCCAGTCGACATTCGCAATAGGGGTGAAAGTGAAAGTACATAACGTCCGTTGAGCCACCGTCACCGGCAGTATTTGTATGAAGTAAGTTACTGCCCGTCTCCACAGGATAAATTTTATATCTTGATACATATGTCAGAATATAATTTGCCAATGGAGACCGCTCATTGCTCTTCGAGAGCAATATATATCAGAGCTTATATCTTGCCATCTATTGCCGGCAATTAGGTATGTAGTTTGACAGCTACATTTTCATTTGCACGAAAACTTCGTGGCTGTAACATCATTATTATTTTAATATAAAAGCAAAAATTGAGCTGCTTCCTGTTAAAATATTTGTAATTATGTATTTGGATGTAAAATAGCCTATTTTCTAAATTTTTTAAGCGATTAAGTCCGGCAAAAATACGTTTTCGAAGCTATCTTACAAATGCTTATATCAAGATATAAAAAGCCCACACAAATATTGCCACTGATATAACTTATATCTAGCGACCAAAATGACAGCTGGGCAGCAATAAATTTTATCCTGTGGAGACGGCCAGTTACATGAGCATGCTGTCGGCGACGGTGCCGCTCAACTCTCATCTTTGCTTGTGCGTTTTCGTCAAGTGACAACTATTCAGTGTTTTGTTTACATGTTTGAACGTAAATTTTTCCCGTTTGTGAAAACCTTAATATTTATGGAAAAAATGTAAAAAATAATGGAGGAAAACTTAATAGAAGAAGTGAAAAAGGGAAATGCAAATTTTGCAAAGTATCGGCGAGTTTATGATTTTACGGGTGCAATGTCAAACGAATAGTGTGTATAGGCTGGTTTTCACTAAACTGAAAAGTCACCTGGATCGCGAAAAACCACTTTTCCTGTAACTATTTCCATTTTTTTTTTATATGTAAAGCGCCATGGAGACGATCAACTATTTTTATGCTTGACAAGAAACAAGCGCACTTGCCTTTTGATCGTCGTGGTGATCAAGTGCGTGGTCAAGAAAAAGAAATTGTTTGTTGAATTGAGAAATTTATTTGAACGTTTGCGGGCAAGACCTCATACATATGCAATGCTTGACGTATTTATTTGATTGTCTCCGTGGCGCTTAAGGTTCTGTTTTTGTTTACAAATGCAGCCTTGCCTATCGTTTAACACTTTTCATGAACTTGCAGGAAGAAAAACTTCGGACTAAAATCTGCAACTTC